ATTCTTGTAGCCACCCATGTTACTTGCGTATGCCCATGAAAGGTGACGATTTAGAGATGCAGAATTAAATTGTGTAAGAACATAGATCTTTGATATGTTTCTGTTCAGGCAATTCCTGACTGGAATGTCAATCAGGCGATAATTTGCTCCTAAAGGAACAACTAGTTTTGTTCTCTTCTTTGTAAGAGGGTAAAGGCGAGTCCCAGCTCCACCCCCAAATATAATTCCTAGAACACTCTGTAAGAATATACTGTTCCATTCACTAAAAAAGTTTAGTGACAAAACGATTAATCTAAAAGAGAATGTAGTTCGTTCCAAGAGAGAAATAGTATCCTGGATCTATAACTAGTGACAACACAGTCAAATCAGTTCCAATTTCATTAACAGTTTTAGATCAAATTGTCGTTTCAATTTTGCTCCAAACTCTTACACAGTTCTTTGCGCTTTGGTAATTTAACTATACATGTGTGTATGTATATGATACATGTATCGAAATATCACACAATGTAACATTTTTTAAACGAATACAGAAAAGAATGAGAAGGAACTAACTCAGCTTGCATCAGGATCGAGACAAGTCTGCGAATTCTGCGAATCATAGACGGCCTTGGGAGAGACAATGAATGGAGTCCTGTCGCCGGAAGAAGCCTCAGAACGCCGCTGTGGAGAGGCCGATTTTGGCGAGATCTTGTTACCCAGATGAGACGAGCAAAGAAAAGCCTCCGAGATGGCGTCGCACGAAGGTTTTCTCTCTCGCAGGCAAGGCTGGCAGTGCTGTGAGGATGGTGCAGACGGTGATGACGGTGGAGCTTCGAAATCGAAACCGCTCTAACTCTCAAAGATGAATCTGTGAGAGTGATAAGGGTATAGAGAGGGTTGAGAGAGAGGCGAGATTTGACGGCGTGAGGATTCAAAATAAGGGTTTACAAAGGCTTTAACAATTGTTCTCAGATTCAAAATAGGCTTCGAAATTGAGAGAAAGAATCACCAAAACATAAATTTCGAAATCGAAATCGAGAGAGAGAACTTTGAAATCAAAATCGAAATCGCCAAGATGAATCACTGAGATTGTATCATTTTGAGATGAATCAGCAAGAGATGAATCGATCCGTTGAAAGGGTTTACAGAGAGAGAGAGAGAGAGAGAGCGAACAAGAGACTGAGTGGGTGAGTAAGAGATTAGGGTTACAAAATGTATTATATATTTGATTTCCCTCAATATTCACCAATGTTAATATATGAATATAATATATGAATATAATTGTATATATCTGTTAATATATTATAGTATAGACACCAATTATAGCATGATATAATAGGATTCCCTTTGTCACCCGCTTTCGGTGCGCCACCATCTTTCGGCCCCTTTTTCTTATTATATTCAATTGTATCATCATAATGTTTTTGTAACAAGCTCCTATAAAATGGAGCCTCAATCTTGATTCTGAATACAGAGTTTACATTACAATTCTCTTTCAATATTACTCTCTCAATTTGTCTTTCATAATTTATCTTTCATGGTATCAGAGCACAGGTATTTTTCCTAAGTCTCTGCATCACATTTTTCTTGGCATATTGCTGCGTACCTCTCCCTTACCTAATACACAGATTAGACAGTACCACCACCTTCGTCTCTCCACGACGAAGCCAACGCCACCAGATTCAGCCTCATCTGACGTCTCACGCGCCACCACGCGCCGCCAGAACATTCGGCCACGCGCTTGATCGTTCCAGACGCGCTCTACGCGCTTCCTACACTGTCCTGTGCTATTGTGCGCCGCGGCCTCATCTGCTAACGTGAGCCGCGTGTTTCTGACGTCAGCTGACGTCAGCCCTGACTGCTTCCGTGCGCTGTGTGACTTCGCCTGCTAAAGTGCGCCGCGCCACTCTCTGCTAACGTGCGCCGCGCCATCCGTTTGACCAGCAGCGTTGACTACTCCATTTTCAGCCTTTCTGGTCCGATTTTTGGTCCGTTCACTCCTTTTCTGACTAATTTTGACCATCTGAATTCACTAGTACTCTCGGTTTTTTCCGATTCTCCCTCATTTGTGCTATTTGTCGCTCATGGATCGCTTGGACTCCTCTACCCAACCTATTTCTGTTATTCTTGACGGGACTAATTATGTCTTATGGGCACAAGCTATGTCTGGCTTCCTCAAAGGAAAGAAACTTTGGCGCATCATCACTGGGGATGTGTGCAAACCCGTTCAAGGGACCACAGATTCCGCTACCACGGACTCCGCTGCCAAATATGTCGATCGACTGGAAGATTGGGATAGTAAAAACTATCAGATCATCACTTGGTTTCGCAATACTTCTATTACATCTATCAGCCTTCAGTTTGGTCGGTTCCAACTTGACTCTGCTTCCTCTCCTGCCAAAGCCATCTGGGATTTTTTACACGAACGCTATCAGACTACTGGCCTTGCTCACCAATATCAGCTTCTGAGTCATCTTCACGGTATGCGCCAAGAAACCACTCAAACCATTAATGATTTTCTCTCCCAAATGTATTATGCTTGGGATCAGCTCGCTCTTTCTGAACCTCCATGGGACTGTACTAAGGATGCTACCATGTTTACTACTTACCGTGACCAACAGCGCTTGGTTCAGTTTCTCATGGCTCTCACTCCCCGTTTTGAGCCAGTACGCGCATATCTCCTTCATCGTACTCCTTTATCCACTCTTGAGCAAGTAATTTCTAAACTACTATCAGAGGAAACCAGGTTTGGTACTCTTCATCCACACCCTGTGGACTCTGTTCTTGCCACTCCCCAGATTCGAAGTTCTCCTTCCTCACCATCACCACAGAGGTCCAATGCCTGCAATTACTATCACAACCGCCATCTTCCGTCGACTTATCTTCTGGTTAATTGTCCAGTTCGTCTTTGTCGGTTTTGCAACAAGACTGGCCCTGGTCATCTCCAACAAGATTACTTCCGCAATCCAGCCCGTGCCTCTCGCAATAGTTCTTCCACCGGGAATTTTTCTCGCAGCCACTCTCACCGTTCTGGGACTCAGTTTAAACCAATGCCTGCCCAACGAACTGCTGCTACTGGCTCAGAGGATTTACCTTCCTCTGTCCCTATGGACCCTTCCACTCCAGTCTTCTCTCAAACTGACGTCGCAGCCATGTTTCAACATTTTTTGCAGACTTCCGGTACTCCTCCATCTACTGCTTTATCTGTCACCGCAGGTAACACTTCTTGGTACTTTGACTCCGCTTGTTGTAATCACATGACCTTTGACCCTACTATTTTTACTCCTCTCTCTTCTACTCCTCATGTTCCTTCTATCCATACTGCTGATGGGTCTCTTCTGTCTGTAAGTCATGTTGGTTCTGTTTCCACCTCTCACTTATCTTTATCCCATGTCTATCTTATGCCTGCTCTTACTTTAAATCTTATCTCCATTAGTCAATTATGTGAGCATGGTCTAACTGTTACCTTTTCCCGTACTGGTTGTTTGGTGCAGGACCCTCGGACGGGGAAAACTCTTGGGATAGGCTGTAAGCATGGACATCTCTACGAACTCATCCATCTTCATGTTCCAGATTCCTTTCAGATCACAGCTCCTACCACTACTACCACTGCTACCACTGCTCCTCCATTATCTCCTTTTCAGCTTTGGCATTGTCGTTTAGGCCATCTTTCTGTTGGTCGTTTAAAATCTCTAATTTCCAGTGGTCATTTAGGTCATGTACGTTCTGATGTTTTAGATTGTGTGTCCTGTCAACTTGCCAAACAACCTGCTTTGTCGTTTAATAAAAGTGACTCTGTTTCTCTTGCACCATTTGATCTCATTCATTCTGATATTTGGGGACCCTCTCCTACTTCTACTATGGGAGGCGCACCCTATAGATGATTTTTCCCGTTTTACCTGGTTATTTCTTATGAAAAATCGCTCTGAGCTCAAACAACTTTATTACAATTTTGCTTTTTTTAATCATATCATTTTCTCATCAACCATGGTGTCTGTATCCTGCCGTAGCAAATAAGAAATTAAAAGATGATCTCATGGGCCGGCAACTAGGCCCACCATTTAATGACCTAACTTAGGAGATTAAATTGGGGTTAATGCATTGCCCATTTTGTGCTTAATTTCCTTTTTCTTTATTCTATCCTTCCTCCTTCTTTAGTGCATTGCCCATTTTGTGCTTAATTTCCTTTTCCTTTATTCTATCCTTCCTCCTTAAGTCTATCCTTGATGTTGATTAACAACTCCACAACTCATAAGATATTCCAAAGCATTTTTTTTTTTTAATGAACTCAAGGAAGGCATTAGAACATTTCCTATTTATTGTAGGTATCTAGTGTTCGATTTATTGGAAAGAAAGTAGAATGGAATGATCATTTAATTAGAATGTCTATTCTTATGTTTGACTCACCCAAAAAAAAAAAAAACAATGAAAAATGGATGGATTGGGGAGTTGTTATCAATCAGTCCTTTTTCTAGACACAATTACTAAAATAAATTGAGTAAATGTTGAGTTTTTTTTGACGCAAACCTAATATAACTCGACCCAACATGATTTCCACCTTTAAGCATCAGGTAAGATAACACATTTTATTACCCAAATGTGATAAGTGAATATGATTACCTTAACATTACTTATTAGGGCAAATTAAATTGATCACTTTTGAGATTTAAAGAAAATATAGTAAGTCTCACAATTTTAATATAGTTACGTTGGGTTCCTTTCCCTTAATAGTTTAATTCGCATGACACTTGGTTATTTTTCATCACCAATTCGTTGCTCATTTGGATGAAAAATAATATGTTGTCATTTAGTTTATATTAAAATGTATATATATTATTTATCCTTGTATCTTTACACTAATTTAATGTAATTATATTAAAATTATGAGATTTCATTTATTTTTTCTAAATTTTAGGAGAAGTCAGTGTAATTTATCCTATATATTGTTTTGGATGGGTTAATAGACCACATTTCTTGTAAAACAACATTACTAGATTGATGGTTCTTTCGACACTGGGATCTTTATCAAATGGACGTGAAAAATGCTTTCCTTAATGGTGTTCTTCTTGAGGAGGTCTACATGCAACCTCCCCCTGGGTCTACTTGTCCACCTCATAAAGTCTGCAAACTTCAGCGTGCTTTATATGGTCTCAAACAAGCTCCGCGCGCTTGGTTTGCCAAGTTCAGCTCTACTATTCATGACTGTGGTTTCACCTCCAGTTCTTATGATACTGCTCTTTTTATCCGGAAAACTGCTCAAGGGACCACCTTGCTTCTCCTTTATGTGGATGATATGATTTTCACCGGTGACGATCTTGATGGTATTGTATGCCTTAAACAGTTTCTTAGCCATCATTTCGAGATGAAAGACCTTGGTCCTCTAAGCTATTTCTTGGGTCTTGAAATCTTCCATGATTCCACGGGGTCTTTTCTCTCTCAGGCTAAGTATACATCTGATCTTCTCACCCGCGCTGGTCTTACGGATTGCAAGACTGCCTCCACTCCCCTGGAGCCTCAGAGTCATCTTACACCTCTTGATGGCACTCTTCTCTCTGATGCTACCCTATATCGTCAGCTCGTTGGCAGCCTTGTCTATCTCACTGTTACTCGTCCTGATATTGCCTATGCCGTTCATATTGTCAGCCAGTTTATGTCCGCTCCTCGTACCCCTCATTATGCTGCATTAGTTCGTATCCTTCGTTATCTCAAAGGTACCTTGTTTCATGGACTTCATTATTCCGCCCGCTCCTCTCTCCAGCTTCGTGCCTTTTCTGATGCTGATTGGGCTGGGGATCCTACTGACCGGCGCTCTACTACCGGGTTCTGGCTTTTCTTGGGTGATTCTCTTATTTCTTGGCGCAGCAAGAAACAATCTCTTACTGCTCGCTCCAGTACTGAGGCTGAATATCGTGCTCTTGCTGATACTACTCAGGAACTTCTCTGGCTTCGTTGGCTTCTTGCTGACATGGGTGTTTCCCCCTCTGGCGCTACTGCCCTCTTTTGTGACAATCAAAGTGCTCTTCAAATTGCTCACAATGATGTTTTTCATGATCGCACCAAGCACATTGAGATTGATTGTCATTTTATTCGTCAACACGTCACTCATGGTACTGTCCATCTCCATCCAATCTCCTCTGCTGATCAACCTGCTGATATCTTCACCAAAGCCCATTCTCCTGGCCGCTTCGTTGAACTTGTCTCCAAACTCCAGTTGGTTGATGTTTGTCCTCCTTGAGTTTGAGGGGGGCTGTTAATATATGAATATAATAGTATATATCTGTTAATATATTATAGTATAGACACCAATTATAGCATGATATAATAGGATTCCCTTTGTCACCCGCTTTCGGTGCGCCACCATCTTTCGGCCCCTTTTTCTTATTATATTCAATTGTATCATCATAATGTTTTTGTAACAAGCTCCTATAAAATGGAGCCTCAATCTTAATTCTGAATACAGAGTTTACATTACAATTCTCTTTCAATATTACTCTCTCAATTTGTCTTTCATAATTTATCTTTCAACCAACTAGCCCATTTAAGAGGGAGAGAGAGAGAGACATTTGAAGACGCTTTCAAGCGTCTTCTGTTATTGAAACGTTGCCGTTTTAATTTTAAAAAAAGTGACGTTTAAAAAACGTCATTAAATATTATAAATGGTGGTGTTTAATAAAACGTTATTAAATAAACTTCGTTAAAACTGATATTTGCTGTAGTGTCCACTCAGTATTAGCGTTAAAAAAATAGAAAACAATAGGAAAACGACATGATCGTGGTCACAGTCACGTGATTGGTTGACTGTGTATTTTGGCATATAGTGGACGGGATTAATCATGCCGCCACAGCCAAACACTCGAAAATATCTTCTAAGAAGGACACACAAAATTTGGATGACGTGGACTCAATTTGGTGTCAGGAGCAAGATATTTTCTACTCTAAGATATTATCGTGGCACGTGTCAATCACTACACCAACGTGGAGATATTTTACTTCTCTTCATTACCCTCCTGTTTTTCTCAAACTACAGCCCTGCCACTCCCAGTTTCGTCCATTCTTTCTTTCTGCTAATAACAGCGGATTTAAAAAAAAAAAAAATTCAATTAATGATTCTATTTGTTTTCGTCATCTTTTTATTTATTTAATTTATAAAAGAAAGACGAATATTTTAAGCCTTCTTATCTTTGTACACAAATTACTCTAATTATTGAGAAACTCTTGGGGTTGTTTGGGATGATCTACATAAATGTATTTTTTAATTTTTTATAAAAAAATTGAAATATGAGTTAGGTTTGAAGTAATCTGATAGAGAGATAATGTGATTTAAATAAGATGATGTGACTTAAACAAGATAATGACTTTTTAACTTTTTAAGTTTTTTAAATTATGACAAGCTAGGCCTTACTTTGATGCTATTAATTTAAAAAAAAAAAAAAACAGTGATAAGTTTAATTTTTATATACGTAGACTATACTTTGCATATTTTTTTCATATTTTTAATTTAAGATAAATTATAAATACATTCTCTTAGGTTTATTTAAAATATGAATTCCCCAAATATCTCTTTTTATAAATAAAAAAAAATATTTAACAAAATTAAATATTAAAATAAAATTTCTAACTAATCTCCTGCTACACAATAATAAAATTAGTCAAATTATTATATTTAGCATTAGTACAAATTATTAATTGACTTAATAATTTATTAATAAAAAATATCATTTGTTATAAAAGAATGTGATGCAATTTTTACAATTACAGGAGATAAATCATATTTTAAATAAATTTTAAGTGATATATTTATAATTTAATGTTCATATTGTTCGGTTTTGATTTTAAAGATATGATTACTAAAATATATTGGTGAAAAGTAGTAATCATTATTTTAAAAGATATATTTTATTTTTGCTAATGTTGTTATAATCTCTTAATTCAAGTAAACTATTAATTTTTTTTGGTCTATTCTCTCACTGCTCTCACCGCTCTTAACTATTTCCGATCATTACTGCTGTCAACCACCACCTCCCGTCGGAGTCGATGGAATTTGCTACTAACCATTTTGGTGAATTTCCCAACTGTCCACTAATGACCATTTCCACCAACCATTTTCTAGTGACCGAATGTATAATATTAAGATATTTATGATTTGTGTAGTGGAGCGAAGTTACTATTCAGGTCAAGTTTGAAAAGTCTCAAAAAAGTCAAAAAATTAAAAAGTTATTAGTATTCATCAAAAGTCAATAATTACGTCGGCACAACTCTCAATACTAATTATTCCCTATACATTAATTTATACAATTTTTTAATACACATTTTTCCATAAAAAGTTAAAAAATTAACCCAAGCATTCATATTTTCAACCTCAACTTTTTAATCTAAAAAAACAAAAAATATACTTATTTAAAACACCCCAAACAATCCCTTAATCTGTCATTAATCTATAAGGGCGAAATAGGTGAAATGGTTGTAAAAGGACTCAAAACTTGAAATATCTAGAATGGTTAAGTTATTGTCATATTCATATTTCAATATGAGATAATTTGAGAGATTTGTGAAATCTATTATAAGTCTTATTTTGATAATTTAAATTATTTATTTTTTAAGACTCATTAAATAGAATATTTATGTAAAAAATAAAGATGATTAGATATTAGTAACTATATGTTTGAATCAAATTTATATTACAAAGAAAGATGGTTATTATTAAAATTATATTTATCGTCTATTTTTTTTTAAAATTATATGATTCAAACATATAACTATCGATATCTAATTAACTTATTTTTTGTATAAATATTTTACTCAACGAGTTCAAAAAAAATAAATAATTCGGATCACTGAAATCCGTTTCAAAGTAGGTCTACTAAGTCTAAACGCTCTGCTAACTTGAGAGAAGTCAAAATTTAAAAGAAGAAAAACATTTAGGCTCCGTTTGGTTACGATCTCAAATTATAGTTCCACTCATTGATTTGAGTGTGTTGTTTATTTTGAACTTACAAATTATAATTCTATACCTATTTTTCAAAACTCAATTCAAAACATAATCATTACTTTTCAAAACTCATAACCAAACACATAATTCAAAACTCTGTTCAAAACTTAATTCAAATCAATATTTTAATTTTTTAAATATTTTAATATTTAAATATGTTGCGATTTTTTTAATTTTTTGAATATTTTTAAATATTTTTATAGACAGCGGCAGGGGCGCGCGCGCGTGTGTAGTGGTTTGGGCTAAGGCTCATTTTGTCCATAACTCCTCCTTTCTACAAAATTGGAGTGCCCTTTGGGGCCCAACCCAAATTAGTACACCAAGAGCTTATATATCCACAAAAGCACTTTTAAAGTTTTAATGTGGGACAATCCATTTTAAAGAAACTCACATTTACTTCTTTAATTGCCCATTTCACAAACCCGAAAATGACGTCAACTTCCCATTCACTCATAAATGGTTTTGACGAACCGTCTTCACCGTGTGACTTGCCATGCAGTAAGAAACACGTCACCTTTTCGGACTCACTCCAAAAGACGTTTGGGTTCTACTCAAAATTGGGCTCAAAGTTGGCCTAAAATAAGCCTTATAAAACCAAATTTTCCAACAATCCCCACATGAATGGAATTTGACAGAGAGAAAATGCAACAAAATAATCTAATTACAGAGAGTGCAGAAATTGGAAATATTTTGCGAAGGATAGGTAGCTTTTGGCTTTGAACCTTCCCTTGTGAGACACTATCGGATTTACTAGCTAACCAGTGAACATGATATCTTGAACTGTTCAGCCGCTTATGTAAACCAAAACAATAGAACTCACACAGAATATCACCAGACACAGTTTAGTTCTCACTATTGTGTTCATTTTGGCCCTGAACAACCTGGTCTTTCATGAGTGTTCTAGAGAATTGTAGCCCTTCACAAATCTCATAGAATCGGCCCAGTTCACACTCATATAGGTGATTCTTATGAAGAGTATCTTGCCATACTCCACTAGGTATACCTAGATATACGAATCATTAAAAGTATTACTTAACCTAAAACGCTGCAGACATCACTATTTCATCATAGAAATGGGTAGGAGTTTAACTCCCCAGTGATCCTTCTGAGTCATACACAACTCGGTTGTCCATTTGAACCTAGATCTTGGGATCTCCAGTTAATTAGGTTGGGTTGTTGTAGACGTCCCCGAACATCCCGGGAGGAAATCCCGTTTTGTTCATTGGGCTTACGACTGTTCAGGACTCAATTGTCACGATCCTGTATCTAATCTCGCAGGGTGCAATGCAAGACCGATGAATCATCAAAGAGTCCAAATCCGACAAATCGTTTTGAAAAATAAATTTTTGGAAAGAAGTGCCAAACATGGACTGCTTTGCCAGATACAGAGTCGCCACCTAAATATTTTATTTTGGGGGAATTTAGGAAACCCTGACTCGTGCTTAAGGCCATGTGTCCGTCATCACCAAAGTTGCCTCGGCTCGGGAACTTGGGTACGATTGGGGAAGGTCACTTCGTGAGCACCCCCGCTCGCCCGATTAAAGATCGGCCTCTACTAACCATGATATCGAGTTTTGAAAACATTATGTGCTCTTATTCCGGTTATTAGCCTAGAATTATTATGTGATGCGCATAGCATACAAGTATAGACTGAATTGCCTAAGTCGGAACAAAGCATTGCATATCCGTTTGTTTTGAAAATGGATTGAAGTTTGCTACTCGCGAGTAGGCTAAAACAAGGGTTTCGATGAATTATTCCAATTCAAGCAACCCAACCTTCACCCACAGGCATTCAGGCAGTTATATCACATAAGTACATAGCCTCATGGTAAGCATGCTATCATGGCAGTCACTCACACGCATGCAAGGATGCTAAAGCATAAACACTTACCGAGTACTCCAAGCCAAAGAAAGAAGCTAATTAGAAAAACATGCATGAATCCTAACTATGCTAAAATGCCTAATGCAACACATACAAGAATGCAACTAAGGTAGGCTCGGCTATTCTAAGATGGCATATGAGATGCTACAGGTAACATGTATTCAACTTGAAATTGAAATACGATGCAGTTAGTATG